GATAAAGCCGCCGCACCTAAGACCCCCGCCGGTAAGTTTCGATTTTTTAACTTTTCTAGCTGACCGAGGCTCTCTAATTTTTTTTTTTGTAGAGATACATGTAAAATTGCCAAAACTATCTAGATAGGCCAAAATCGGCCAGGCTGAGGCGAACCACCGCCGTGGGAGGCGAAGCCAGCACTGGAGTGCGGCGATGCCACTGCTATGTCAGAACCCTTAAATTTTTCGAAAAGATTTTCCAACACCGAATTTAGCCTTTTGAGATATTTTTGGGTACATGACGGGTATTTTAATTTATGTAAAAAAAATTTAAGAAACTTGGGGACCATCAGGAGATGTAGTAGAAAGTATAGTATTTCAGACACCGATTCAGGTAAGGATCCCTGACCTTATTCCCTATTACGGTGAATTGAGACTTAAATAATCGATAATCTTGTATTTTGTGAAAATTAAAAAAACTTTAAAAATAATTACAGGTCATTAGTTGAGCCAAAACTGGTCAGTTCATATTTGCCCTGATTCACTGTTTATTTTTTCATACTGTTTAAATTACTTACTATTATATTATGCGTACTAATTTGATTGTTTCCTCGGTTATTTGGTTTACCTCATTACACATTTTTTTTTCTGGTTTGTCCTGCAATAAATGTCTCGATTATATTATTGATGTACGTATCGCCTATTTGCCTGATTTATCATTAATCTGGAAACATAAGATATTGACACATAACTAGTAATCGATTTGTGGTGTGATCCCATGTAAGAAAGACTTACTAGATACCCTAGAAAAAGGTGGACGAACCTGATACATAGAGAATTCTATTGTGGACGTTACCTCAGTCTGACAGGGCTAAGAAGTCCCATACCGAAAGGGTTTTGGAGATATAATTCACCCTCATACCGGACGGAGTATTGAGACGATGGTATGTTTGGTGCCCATTACCGAATGGGGTATGGAAATGGTCGGGTTAATTGACAAATCTAGATATTGAGTTCACGGATATGAGAATATCCCTATAGACCCCAAGTAGTTCCGATAAGCAGGTAAAAAAGAGAATTGCTGATCTCGTTCAATTGTACATAAAGTCATAATATTATATGAGTATTTATCTTATTAGGTTGATTTTGGTAAACTCGTAACGGTAAGTATGGAATAAACGTTTTAATATCAAATGAATTTACTTAATGTAACGGCTTCATTAGTTGTTTTATAATTTTTGCCAACCTTCGATTTTCCATATTAATGATTAGTGTGATATTCTTACTGGATTAGTGTACCTCACCATTCTATTAAACATTTCAGATCAAGAAAACCAAGATTCAGATCTCGATCAGTAAGAGAATTATGAGTAGTTTACCTCTCGGACCCCATCAAGTGCTAGTAGAGATTAATCCCTTAGAATATTTATTTATTTGTGTTCAATCATTGATTTGCGATTTTTTTATGAACCGCTGTAGAAGGGACATCTCAATTGCTCTCATGTTAAGATTGTGAAACTTTGATTCCAAAATAATAGTTGAAATCATGTCCAACAGGTTGAGGCCATTCATATTGTAACATTATTTATCACTTTCTATGAAGGTTTATCTTAAGGTGTAGTATTAGTGACAATGTCATCCTCGCCCAAAGGCAATCCCTACCATGCATTGTACTAAAACTAAACATGGTTTTATAGATCTGAAAGTTAAACATGAGAAAAAAAAATATATGAAAAGATAAATTTGAGTTTCTTGAAAATTGTCGTAAAGGACTCTAATCTCTTTACCAACCCTCATTAAACTTATTATGTTTTGTATCATTTCCTCATTTACATTTATTCTGTGAAACAAAACTTTATTATCACCTTTTAAACTTTATTATGGCACTAGACATGATTGAATTGGTTTATAAGTAATGTACTTCGCATCCCTCCATCTTAATAAAGAGGGATTCAAGATTAATCATTTGTTTTCTGATGACAATTTTATTCTTTTTTCTAACACTACAGAAACTAAAGCGTGAAAGATTTTTGATACATTCTAAGAGTTATTTTAATAAATGTGCAATAGTTCTAAATCTAAAATCTATTTCTCATCAAATGTACATTAAAACATTCAAATATTAAGATATATTTGAAATACCTTTTGTTATAAACTTTGGTAAATATCTTAGTATAAATTTCAAATAAGGAAGAACAAAAACTAATAACTTTTAAAATATTTTAACAAAAAAAAATTTATAAGCTTGAAGTATAAAAGACTGATTGTTGAATTTAGCTAGTAGAGTTACTCTTGCCAAATTTATGCATACAATCCATCTTTTTATATCGTGATTATGTTATACAAAGTTTATAAAATATATATGTATAAATTATAAAAACAAACTAACTAATTGTATTTAAGTTTGTTTTTGGATATGGTAAGAATTTATATCTTTTGTATTGCTAATTTTGGATTTACGAGACTTATATAAAAAAAAAAAAATTATATAGTTTACTTGTTATATTTTACTATCAACATCATTTTTGTTGTTCATTTGACAAAGGAAAAAAAAAAAAAAAAAGGGATCGAATACCAAAAGGCCGACATCTTCATTTTGCATCTCTATGTTGGGTCAGAACACAAATCAACAATAAATTGTGTTTGTTCATTTTCATAATTTTTTCAAGCAATAATTTCTAAATAAATAAAATATCTACCAGTAAAATTTTCAATGGGCTTCGACATTCAACGTTGCCCATAATATTTACTATATATATATATATATAATGTAGACAATAACAATATACACAAAGCCAAGGGATAACACAATACCAACTACATCAAGTTTATAGAATAAAGTTTATCAAATTTATTATTTTTATAATTATAATTTGGTTTTGGAAAGTTTCTATTTGTTTAAAAAATTCAGTTTCCTTTTGTTTTTTAATTTAAAAAAAATTAAAATTATGGATACATATTTAAACACTTTAAATATATCTCAAAAAATAATTTTAATTAAATAATAAATAAATAGAGAAATTTGGTCTGATTTTTTTTATTATTATTACTAAAACTGTAATAAAAAAATATTAAGAATTAAACTATAATAAATATTAAGAATTTAAGTTAAAATTAAATTGAAAAAGTGAGATTGTTCATTCTGTTCAATGTTAAGGTGACATCACAATCAACTTGCTCTTCACTCACTCTTGATTAGTACAATTCCACGTACTTATCCTCCTAATTAAACATAAACCAAAGCCTTATTATAAAGTACAAAATTTATCTTGAAATCATATAACTTATTGCAATACTGATTTACGTGGAAATTTTAATTTTATTAATAACTCGGATTCCTCCTTTTTTAAGTGTTGTTATTTATAAGCCGCATTTTGTTTTTGTTTTTTACAAAGAAGAGATGGGGGGGGGGGGTTGACTAAAATTACCTTATTTTAAAGAGAGAAAAGAAGGTGACATAATTGGGCCATGTGACTAATTTTCCCAATTAAACATCATTATATACATTTTCCCAAAACAGCTAATTGGGTAAGAGGGAGCTGCGCTTATTTTACTGATTAGTCTTTGTAATATATGGGAAACTTCTTTGCCACTCAATTAAAATTTTTACTTTATTCTTGAATTTTTTATTTTATTTTATTGTTCTTCTTTAATCCCCCACCCGAAAAAGAAAAGAAGAAAACAATGAAGGCCGTCCATGATTCCTTTTAGTGAACATGCGATGAGGACAAAATTCGATGACTTACACGAAAGGGTTTGCATAAAAGTTTCATTACAAACCCTTTGATTTTGAAGAAGATCAAAAAAACAACTTTAAAAAGTTACCCACTGGCTTTCATCACCATCTAATACCCCAAAAGTAAACGACAGTAGTCCGAAGATGAAATATCAAATGTAGCATTAGCAAGAATTCAATTGAAAACTTCACTACAATGGAAGAATTGAATTCTTTTCTCCTAAATGCAGAGAACACTAAACATAAAAGAAATGAGACTGGAAAAGAAGAAAAACAAAAAAAAAAAAAAATGATTGCCCACGGGAGTTGATTGAGCAAACACAAGGAAGATTTCTTCATCTGAAAATCTAAATTGAAACCCAATTGAGATTATTCACCAACATGCCCCAAAATTTCTCAATCAGAGAAGAAGCCCACCGAGAAAACCCTTCTGCTTCTGGTGGCATTGCAAGATCATATGGCACAAACCCATCATGACCCAATTGCTTCTTCTTCTTCTTCTTCTTCATCTATAGGAGCTGGAAGATTAAGATCGATAAGTGTAGGCATCTGATCAGGCAAGTCCTGCTTGATCACCACTGTATTGTTGTTAATGTTGTTGTCCTCGTGACCTCCAACAAAATGGGACCTCTTATGGCCACCTAAAGCTTGGCCTGACTTGAAAACCCTGAAGCAGAATGGGCACTCGTGCCCCTTGCTTTTCTTTTTCCCCATTTTTTTACTGCCATTGCCAGACAATTTCTGATCATGATCTGGGTTCTTCCCCCCGTAAGACTCTGTGATATTGGCATGTTCAGCCATTGTTGGATCATTCTCCAAGCTATTTTCACCACACTCGTACATTGACTCCCAGTACTCACTAGTCTTGTTAGAAGTTATATTTCTCTTTTCACAATTTTCCAACCAAGAATCGGACTTTTTAGTACTCTTCCTCAAAGCGTACTTTGTCGATGCACCTCTATCTGCTCGATCGTTCCCAAAATCAGTCATCGACTTGAATTTGCTCATATTTTTCCCAGATTTTCCTTTCAAATCCTCAAACCCAGATCTAAATTCAGCATTCCTCAAACACCCATCAACAGAAACATCGGATTCTACTTTTTTGGGTCCATTTCTAAAATACCCAGAATCTGAATTGTCAGGAGAAGAGAATCCATTCTCGGCTGATTTCAATTTCTTGCCGTCTCTTCCTTTTTTCATCCCTAAAAACTTTTCGGCATTGGAGGTACAGCTCAAGCCAGTCTTTATAGTGATTCTCAAATCAATAGACGATGATTTAGCCTCTAAAACCACAGAATTGTTATCCGAAGACTCGGCAATTGAATTCAACCCTTTCCGGAAACTAGAATCCCTTGAAAGCATCATCAAACACATGGCAACCTCCTCTTGTTCTTGCTCAATCTCAGAAACCGAAGATGACCCATTTGCGACGGAAACCGAATTAGAGTAGTTAACATCAGTGCTTCTATTATTATTATTATTGTTGTTATTATAATACCTCATTCTCTTAGATCTCCTTCTTCTGCTAGGAGTTGATGTTTCAGTATCAGATTGGCTATCCATTACAAGCTTCTGCTTCTCATCAGTCAATGGTTGATCCTCAAACCTGTGATTGCTCACCTTGTCTCTTTCAGAATGAGAAGCCATGTGGCCACAAAGAGCTTTCAGTGATTGGAACCCTTTACCACATTCTCTGCAGAGCAGTTGGTGTTGTTGCACAGAAGGGTTTCTTGAATCTGCAAACCTCCGGGTTTTCTTGGGATTCTCTCTCAGGCCATATCCAGATTGCGAAGCAGCTTCAGGCCCCGAATCTGCCTTGCTACTGCTGCTTCCATTGTTGTCGATTGGATGAATCTTGGTTTTGCTGAGCTTGAATTCATGGGCTTGTGCATCAGCGGAATTCAAATTCATATGGGTCCTTATGTGTCCGCCCAATGACTTACCGCAAGGGTACCTCTTGTTGCAGAACTTACAGATGAACTTCCTTTCTTGATTCTTGTCCATGGATTGATCTGCTTAGTTAAAAAGAAATTCAAGAAAGAGCGAAAGAAGATCAGCATGAACTCATTTCTCCTACCTGAAATCAAGAAGAATGCTGCATATCTGTGTGAGACAAAGAGGGAGACCCAGATGGGAGAAAACAGAGGAGCATGAAAATCGAATCCGGATCGAGAGAGAAAACAGATCACGAAGTTTCCTGCTTTTTCTCACTGGTGATGATCAAGTGCAGAGAGATGTGACAGTTGTTCTACTAAGTACAAGATCCGACCCACAAGCAAAAGAAAGACAGACTCTCAATAAATCCCATTTCCGAGTATTACAAAACCAAACAGACCCTCCGAGAAAATTAAAAAGGAAATTAATGTGTTTGGAAAGAAAATCAAGAAATCTGGAGAAATGGGTGGCCAATGATGGCGATGAGGAGGGCTAATAGGAGCAATCAAAGCAAAAACTCTCTCTCTCTCTCACTCACTCTTCTCTCTCTTCCGAGACTTGTTTTGTGTTGTAGTTGGAGGAGACTTCCATGCATGGAAGCAAAAGATTAAAAAGGGAAGAAAAGATTGGCAGCACGTGGAGTGAAATGAGAAGCATACGGTGATGGATTGTAGGGTCAGGATTGGAAGGATGTTGGATTGGACGGCGAGGATATGTGGGTATGGGAAAATGCCAAGGTGTGAGGAATAGTTCGATAGGCATCCAAACAATGCCTTAACTTTGTCTTGCTTGCAAGCTCATACAAGTGAAGAAGAGTCAGAATCTTCAACCGTTACTTGCATTCGCTCCCAAACAATCAACACGTCCCCTATTCTCGTGCTTTATTCTTAACAAAAAACTTTCTTCTTTAACATTTTAATTCTTTCATTTTTAACCATAATTAATTAATTTCTCAAAATTAAATAAAACAAAAATAATGTGATAACTCATTCAAACATTACCCACCCTGCAATATATTAATTATAAAAAAAAAAATCCCCTTAGAAGATCTTTCTGTTAAGAAGATAATTCTCTCAATTTTAAAATTAATATTTAAGTTATAAAATATATGATTAGAAAACCCAAATCATTGACCAGGTAGAGCTTAGTATCTCTCTATTTGTAAGTGGTGATTAATGTTTCCACATCTAATTAATAACATCAGTGTTTTTATGGGTACTTAATTCATCCTTTTTTATTTATTTATTTATTTATTATTTTCCCTTATTAATATTAATTTTATAAAATATAAAACAAAACTTCCAAAATCAAACAATTTAATTGTTGTTATATTAAGGGATTCAACTCAATGGTCATGTTGGCCACCAACTGCCTTACGTTCATTTTTCAATCCAAAAAAATTTAATTATATTATATAGAACTAAACGCGAATAATAATTTTATGGATTTAATTTTAAAATTAAAATTAAAATGATATATCTATTCAATTTAACCATTCGTATTTATTTAGATAGTTAATTTTAGTTATATATATATATATATAAATTTCATTCTAATTTGGGTTACATTTTAAATAATTTATTGCCAATTTTTTTTATGACTTATTTATTAAGCGTCTTTTTTTCCATGGGTTCCCCGCAAAAGTAAACTCCGAGTCTCGACCCCATCTATTTACATTTATATTATTGGTGCTAATCATTTTGTTAATTGACGTAATTAATTTGACAAACCAAGCCATTCAGATCACATGAGTCTGGGGGCACAGGGCTGTCCATTGATGAAGATATCGCAGCTGCATGTCTTAATCCTTTACTCTTCAAATATCTCCCTCCCCCATCTTCTTCCCCTTTCGGAGCGTTAACCAGCCCCGTCTGCCAAATCGACCATGCAAATTGGTGCGATTATGTCTTTGCCAAAGACAAGCTGAGGGTCCGAGAGAGTTTGGACGAATCTACTGTTGTTATATTTACTTCAATTTATTTTTCGACTCTCATGTTAAAATAAAAGTATGATATAATTTTTTATCGAACAATTTACAACAAAATCAAAAAAAAAAAATCAAATTAATCTTTCGTATAAACAAAATTGTTCCCATTTATCTTGATGAATACATGGTATTTTCTAGAATATGATTTCCACCATTTGCTAATTTCATTACTTATTTTTTTCTCTCTTAAGGTTTCTTGAATGTATTTTCAAAGTTTTTGGTGTTTTTCATTTTTTTCAATTTAAATTACAAATTTATAAGCATTATGTATTTAGTTTCTTTTTTTCTTATTTTATTATTTAAAAATAATTTTTTTCCTTGATAGAACCAAAAAAAAAAAAAAATTGGTTTTAGTTACTTTTTTATTCTAAAATATTTTTTGAACCGAAATGGCATATTGTAATAGTTAGATTGAGAATTAAATATTAAAAAAGATATTGAATAAATTGGTTTGACACTATATATATATATCTTAGCCAATTCAATATAACTTTAATACATTTTTTATTATTGTTTTTTAATATATAATTTATAATAATAAATTTTACATGTCATATTGGTTATATAATTTATCAAGCATACAACGTAATTTTTTTGTTTATGTAAAGAAGAACCCATTGAAATTTGGGCTTCTAATACATGAATTGGATTTCTTAGTAGAGAATGTGTAAATTGCCCAATTTCATGATGGGCCTTTCAGTAAATATCTTTTTTTTTTTTTTGGTAGACCCAAAATCAGCTTCACTCTATAAGAACCCAAAAAAAAATAATAAAAAAAAAAAGTATGATTCCAACTTTCTAAACCCAAAATCATTTTTTCCTTTTCTTTTTCTTTTTTTCATCATCAATGTAACAACAAGCAAACTTTGTTACCAAAAAAATGTGCAGTAGATTTAATTTCATTTTTTTTAATATATCATTGATATTGTAATATCCACCTAAAGAAAAAAAAAAGAAATGTAAATAAAAAATAAAATTAGAATTAGAAATTAAATAAAAACAAATAAGAAAAAAGATGGATAAAAATATAAATAAGTGGAAGTGAATTGGGATAAAAAGAAATAGGAAATGGACAGTCTTGATCGAATCGTCTGAGAAGATCAAATAGCTGAGATTTAAGGGAGAACGGACGACCCAAATCAAGCTAGCGAGATTTAACGATCGGGGTGAATGAGTATTAAAAAAAAATTTAGGATTTCTCTCCATTTTGAAGAGTAGCCAAAAAAGAGAGAGGGAAAAGATAGAGGAGCAATCAGGGATGCAAGGAAGAAGAGGGAGTCGTGCAGGGAAGCCAAGAGAGAAGAAAAAAGGAGAGGAAAGGAAAAAGGAGGTCGGAAAAGAAGAAGGGGAAGGAGAAAAAAAAAAGGAAGAGAAGAGAAGAGTAGCTGAGCGGGAAAGAGAAGGGGGAGCCTAGAACGGTCACCGCAAGGGAATAAAATGGAAGAAGAGAAAGGCAGAGGTGGAAGAACGGTGTAAATCGAGCCGAAAGGAAGAATGAGGAAGAAGAAATGGCCCGAGAAGTCGTGTGACGATGAAGACTGAGGCTGTCCAGATTTTTCAAGCACCGCACCCGAGCTAGGTGCGTTCTTTTTCTTCTTTCGGTTTGTGTTTTTAACCAAACAGGTGTTCATATGTGTGTGTATGCAGGTTTAGGAGCTAGAGAGTCGCGGGGTGATCGAGAGAAGACCACTGGTAGCCAAGCCAAGGTTGAATCGCTCACACCGAAGATAAAAATTATTATGTTTTCATATTTTGGTGGCTGGCTCCATGAGCTCGGCCGGGCCACCCACCTATGTGAAAACCGAGAAGGTTTCCTTGAGATGGGAAAAACTAACCCACCGTGAAAGCTGAAGGTCTTCTGCGGGAATGGAGACTAGAATCGCCTTTGGGGTCTGATCGCCGTCGAAAGTTGAAAGGCCTTCTCAAAAATGAAAATCTGATTTGCCGTCGGAAAAACTGAAAA